GAAAGTGAACTACAAATGCACATTGACCATGATGAACAGTTTCTAAGGCTGTCACAGAATGGCTCTGTGGCGTGAGAGGAAGTGGAAGGGTCCCACCAGGCACAAGGTCTGTCACCACGGCATTTCAGATGAGGCGGCGGTTGCCGTGGATTCCTCTGGTTAGGGGATAGGGGCCAAGCAATAAGTTTGAGTATCTGGCATGCTTGATTAACTGGCAACCAGAACCGGCCTCACAGTTGCAGTTAAAGTTTCATCATCTTGTACCATACCGCATATTAATTATGGACCACATTTAAACAATGTCTTCTTGAAAATATTTAGAGTTCGCTGACCCCAAGGAGTATAGTATAAACAAAGACCACTACAAACCCTCTGTACAGTAAGCGTGGTCCCATAGAGGATGCACTGATTGACTAGGATCCCTTGATCGGGCTTTATCAACTGAGTTAATATGTTTTCTCTTGTTGCATAGAGTATGGATCACTTTGATGACATCGGCCCCAGTGTTGTGATGGCTTCCCCTGGTATGATGCAGAGCGGCCTATCCCGAGAGCTTTTTGAGAGCTGGTGTACGGATAAAAGGAATGGCGTCATCATAGCAGGGTATTGTGTTGAAGGAACACTTGCCAAGGTGAGTTACCATTTTATTGCTGTGTTTTTAATACAGAATAGACTGCCTGAGAAATTGTATTCTTTTTTTTTATTGCTTGACCTGTATTTTATTGGAGTCTGTGTATTTGCAGACCAGTACTCTTTAAAATGATTGTAATTTTGCATCAAGCAGGGAGCAAATACAGTACAGTGGCCAAGAGACTAGCAGCGCCATTCTAAGCAGAATTAGAGTGCTTAGAAGTGGCACTATGAATTTTTGGGGTTGAATCTCCTCTCTGCCACAAATTCCTTTTCAGTCTCAAGCCCTTCTTTTCTCCCCTTTTAATATTAAAACTCACATTGACTTTGTGGAGTACAGTCAAGCCCAAATGAAATGCTCTCTACATGGGGCTGCTCTTGTCCCAAATCCGGAAGCTGCAGCTGGTGCAGAATGCAGCGGCGAGGCTGTTGTTGTGTCTTCCTCTGCGGGAACGCATCCAGCCTGCCCTAAAAACCCTGCACTGGCTGCCTATAGCATACCGGATACGGTTCAAGGTGCTGGTTCTTACCTTTAAAGCCCTATAT